CTTCTGTTTGTCTTTCCTTCCTCCAATTACCTCATCAAAGTGATAGGGGGAGATGCTGGATCTTCTGTTTGTCTTTCCTTCCTCCAATTACCTCATCAAAGTGATAGGGGGAGATGCTGGATCTTCTGTTTGTCTTTCCTTCCTCCAATTACCTCATCAAAGTGATAGGGGGAGATGCTGGATCTTCTGTTTGTCTTTCCTTCCTCCAATTACCTCATCAAAGTGATAGGGGGAGATGCTGGATCTTCTGTTTGTCTTCCTTTCCTCCAATTACCTCATCAAAGTGATAGGGGGAGATGCTGGATCTTCTGTTTGTCTTCCTTTCCTCCAATTACCTCATCAAAGTGATAGGGGGAGATGCTGGATCTTCTGTTTGTCTTTCCTTCCTCCAATTACCTCATCAAAGTGATAGGGGGAGATGCTGGATCTTCTGTTTGTCTTTCCTTCCTCCAATTACCTCATCAAAGTGATAGGGGGAGATGCTGGATCTTCTGTTTGTCTTTCCTTCCTCCAATTACCTCATCAAAGTGATAGGGGGAGATGCTGGATCTTCTGTTTGTCTTCCCTTCCTCCAATTATCTCATCAAAGTAATAGGGGGAGATGCTGGATCTTCTGTTTGTCTTTCCTTCCTCCAATTACCTCATCAAAGTGATAGGGGGAGATGCTGGATCTTCTGTTTGTCTTTCCTTCCTCCAATTACCTCATCAAAGTGATAGGGGGAGATGCTGGATCTTCTGTGTGCGCTTTCTAACGCATTGCATAAGCGTTTTAACAAATTTGCAGGTTAGGGAGGAGCTTTACTCACAAGATTATGTCACTAAACTACCACGATCGCATGTTATGCCCTTTGCCGATGTTTACACCTGGCTACCATGATCATACCCCCTGCGATTGTAACTTTGGACGCCGGCCGTCATGTTTAAATTGCGGCTTTTTTGACAAATGTAGTTGAAACCGTTAGTCCACTTATTTCTCTACGATTATTTAAAGGCAACAATTCGATAGTGCTTAAGGCAGATTGTCCACACATTTTTCTGATAATCTCCCATATCGATGGCGCACAAACAAATGATTAGATAATGGGTCTGAACGTTAGGGCCAGCATGGAAGAGTCTGGGGATTATTCCTGATACTAAGGGATACTGTCTTGATTGTTTTAAATATGAAGGTGAATCTGAAGATATTTCTGTACAGTTTCATGACTGTGACTGATAATTCTTACAAACCGCCACCAAAAACATTGTCAAAACTGGAATACGAGGTTTCGCTTACAGCAGTGACATGGCAGTGGGAGGCAGGTGTATTATGTTACATAAGATCGGCTAAACTGTTTCATGTATATGCTTCAGGTGTGTATTACTAAATGTGTCTGTTAGTGTAGATTGTGACCATTATGGCTCTGAGTTTTAGCAAAAATAATCTCACAATGAAATCTTCGATGTAAACTGAAATGCGCTTTCTGCTGTGTGCATTTTGGCAAAAGTAAGTTTTTTTGGGTGTATCTTTTTATGTTTGACAGTTCAGTCATATTATATCCAGCGTTATTGGTGGAAATGGCAAACAGTCAATGAATTTGCATCATTTTTTTTTTCATAGTTAGGCAGAGCTTTCACCCAAGATTATGTCAGAAAAGAATTTTTGTTTTATTGGTGTCAGAAAATGTTTCGGTTGCCATCTTTCCACCAAAATACAGCCACATGATGATGATGTCAAACAAGATTCCACAGCACTCGTTCTTTACATTTGTTCTCCATTCAATTTGGAAAAGTACAAAATATTATAAGTTTATGTTAAACAGTTGTGAAGCAATTGCATTTTTAATACACTAAAATATGTTGTATCTGTGAAAGTTGAAGGGTTAATGGGTGAGATAGACAGTGGGCTGACCTTAGTACCAAACAGTTTATCAGGAAATGCCCCCTGTGTAATAATAACCAACAGGACAAACCATGAGTATATTACTTTCAAAGAAGCTAAATACTGTGGAAGCCAGATTTTCTTAGCATTCTCTGGCCAAATGTATTTTTTTTTAAACAGAACATACTGCATGTTGGGTGGGATTCACAGAAGACCTACTCACATATGATATGCTGCTCTGGACTGAGAGAGTTCAGGACCTACCTGTTGGTCCAAGGAAAGAGAACTCTGTGAGAGTGAAGCATTAGCATAGATCTGGTTACTGGTGTCACTGCTGCTGGAGATCTGGGTACTGATTGTGTGTCTGTAGTGATGCCGGTCTCTGGAGCTTAGCTTGCGTGGCCATTTCACTAGCAACCTGCTCACTTTAACTACTACAGAACATCTATGCTCACTTTAACTACTACAGAACTACTCACTTTACAGAAGAACATCTATGCTCACTTTAACTACTACAGAACATCTATGCTCACTTTAACTACTACAGAACATCTATGCTCACTTTAACTACTCCAGAACATCTATGCTCACTTTAACTACTACAGAACATCTATGCTCACTTTAACTACTCCAGAACATCTATGCTCACTTTAACTACTACAGGACATCTATGCTCACTTTACTCCAGAACATCTATGCTCCAGACATTATGCTCACTACTCCCTACATCTATGCTCACTTTAACTACTCCAGGACATCTATGCTCACTTTAACTACTCCAGAACATCTATGCTCACTTTAACTACTCCAGAACATCTATGCTCACTTTAACTACTACAGAACATCTATGCTCACTTTAACTACTACAGAACATCTATGCTCACTTTAACTACTACAGAACATCTATGCTCACTTTAACTACTACAGAACATCTATGCTCACTTTAACTACTACAGAACATCTATGCTCACTTTAACTACTTCTATGCTACTTTACTACTACAGAACATCTATGCTCACTTTAACTACTACAGAACATCTATGCTCACTTTAACTACTACAGAACATCATGCTCACTTTAACTACTCCAGCTCACTTTAACTACTACAGAACATCTAACTAACTACTACAGAACATCTATGCTCACTTTAACTACTACAGAACATCTATGCTCACTTTAACTACTACAGAACATCTATGCTCACTTTAACTACTACAGAACATCTATGCTCACTTTAACTACTACAGAACATCTATGCTCACTTTAACTACTACAGGACATCTATGCTCACTTTAACTACTACAGAACATCTATGCTCACTTTAACTACTACAGAACATCTATCTCACTGCTCACTTTGCTCACTACTACAGGACATCTATGCTCACTTTAACTACTACAGAACATCTATGCTCACTTTAACTACTACAGACATCTATGCTCACTTTAACTACTACAGGACATCTATCTATGCTCACTTTAACTACTACAGAACATCTATGCTCACTTTAACTACTACAGAACATCTATGCTCACTTTAACTACTACAGAACATCTATGCTCACTTTAACTACTACAGAACATCTATGCTCACTTTAACTACTACAGAACATCTATGCTCACTTTAACTACTACAGGACATCTATGCTCACTTTAACTACTACAGGACATCTATGCTCACTTTAACTACTACAGCTCTATGCTCACTTTACTACTACAGAACATCTATGCTCACTTTAACTACTACAGAACATCTATGCTCACTTTAACTACTACAGAACATCTATGCTCACTTTAACTACTACAGAACATCTATGTTCACTTTAGCTCACTTTAACTACTACAGAACATCTATGCTCACTTTAACTACTACAGGACATCTATGCTCACTTTAACTACTACAGGACATCTATGCTCACTTTAACTACTACAGGACATCTATGCTCACTTTAACTACTACAGAACATCTATGCTCACTTTAACTACTACAGAACATCTATGCTCACTTTAACTACTACAGGACATCTATGCTCACTTTAACTACTACAGAACATCTATGCTCACTTTACAGAACATCTACTACTACTACAGAACATCTATGCTCACTTTAACTACTACAGAACATCTATGCTCACTTTAACTACTACAGAACATCTATGCTCACTTTAACTACTACAGAACATCTATGCTCACTTTAACTACTACAGGACATCTATGCTCACTTTAACTACTACAGAACATCTATGCTCACTTTAACTACTACAGAACATCTATGCTCACTTTAACTACTACAGAACATCTATGCTCACTTTAACTACTACAGAACATCTATGCTCACTTTAACTACTACAGAACATCTATGCTCACTTTAACTACTACAGGACATCTATGCATTAACTACTACAGAACATCTATGCTCACTTTAACTACTACAGGACATCTATGCTCACTTTAACTACTACAGAACATCTATGCTCACTACTACAGAACAACTACTACAGAACATCTATGCTCACTTTAACTACTACAGAACATCTATGCTCACTTTAACTACTACAGAACATCTATGCTCACTTTAACTACTACAGAACATCTATGCTCACTTTAACTACTACAGAACATCTATGCTCACTTTAACTACTACAGAACATCTATGCTCACTTTTTAACTACTACAGAACATCTATGCTCACTTTAACTACTACAGGAACATCTATGCTCACTTTAACTACTACAGAACATCTATGCTCACATCTAACTACTACAGGACATCTATGCTCACTTAAACTACTACAGAACATCTATGCTCACTTTAACTACTACAGAACATCTATGCTCACTTTAACTACTACAGAACATCTATGCTCACTTTAACTACTACAGAACATCTATGCTCACTTTAACTACTACAGAACATCTATGCTCACTTTAACTACTACAGAACATCTATGCTCACTTAACTACTACAGAACATCATCTATGCTCACTTTAACTACTACAGAACATCTATGCTCACTTTAACTACTACAGAACATCTATGCTCACTTTAACTACTACAGAACATCTATGCTCACTTTAACTACTACAGAACATCTATGCTCACTTTAACTACTACAGAACATCTATGCTCACTTTAACTACTACAGAACATCTATGCTCACCTTTCAGTTTTGGTACAATTTGCTGAGACTTTGCTGGATCTGATGGACGCCTGGGGTCAGACGGACTGAATGGGATATTGGCTCCGGTCAGTGTGGTCTGTTTCCAGTCTTCCCATTCATCTTCTGAAGGCTCAAATACCGGTGCATCTATAAATTATAATACAACAATATTTTATTTTATAAATGTACAAGCCACAAGAGGAGGGCAGGATGAGAAGCACTAGGAAATAAGTATGAGATTCAAGTATGAAAACAATCATTTGAGCTGGATGTGAAAGTGCATCATTACCACACCAGCAAGCATGAATCTAGAAAAAAGGAAAAATGTACTTAACTCTTTTATTTAAATATTTAAAGTAAGTACGTACATATGTACATGTGTTTATGTATGTATTATGGATATGAATATGTATATATATATATATATTGAAATGCCTATGCTATTTCTTTTATTTCTATTTCACTAGCACAGAAAACATTATTTTAAATTCTAAACCTTGTATATTCCCTGTGTGGGTGCCGGGGCCCTACTGTGGGGTAAACAAGAATAGATTCACTGCCTCTGCAACAAGCATGCCTGACAGGCAAGGGAACAACAGCCTGCATACTAATAAGTCAGATCTGTAAAAGGGGTGCACATGCAACACTCAAGTTCTGGAACAACACTACAGTCCAGTGGTGGAGGAACAATCATAACTTTCCGCCTGAGTTTACAGCCCATGAAGGCAAAGAAGAAGAATATGAAGAAGGAGGAGGAGGAGAAGAAGAAGAAAAAGAAGAAGAAGAAGAAGAAGAAGAAGAAGAAGAAGAAGAAGAAGAAGAAGAAGAAGAAGAGGAAGAGGAAGAAGAAGAAGAAGAAGAAGAAGAAGAAGAAGAAGAAGAAGAAGAAGAAGAAGAAGAAGAAGAAGAAGAAGAAGAAGAAATCATACTTCTAAACAGTGCAGTAACAATGTTTTGGTATTCTAGTAAAATATGACAAGTGCAGTAAAATCTGATAACACAAAAACAGTACAATCCACACACCATTAATTAACACTGCAGGTGAAGGTGGCTGCAGCTGTGATGAGTCATCAACAACAACCTCTCCTTCTCCTAGAAGTCTGCGTCCCCTCATGCGAGGCATGGTATTTGGTCGCCTGGAAAGCCCTTCTGTTGCAGCTAGAAAAAGATTACAAAAAAATAAACAATACAGTGATAGGAAACATTGTCGGCTACACATTTTCGGCTACACATTATCGCCTACACATTGTCGGCTACTTTCTAATGAAAAGGTAGTACTTTTGAACTAGTATTTTGCTAATTAGATATTGTCTAAAGAGGGTGTGATATTTGACTCTTTTGATATCAGATGGGTTCACAGAAGTTTTCAAAGTGAAGACATAACTAGGATGAAAAATGATGAATGAATTACTTTCAGAAAGGCAAAATAAGCAGAAGTAGTGACCACTGGCAAATCCAGATTTCATTAGTGTGTTCTGACCAAAAATTTATAAAAAATAAAGCACATGATGCGATGGAGGTGAATCAAGGGGTAAATTCACTAACATATCAGGTGTTTCTTGGAATTGAAAGAGTTAGAGATTATTTTACAAACATCATTATATGAAAGCAATGTTTCCAATAAAAGAAACACAAACAACAGATAACACATTTTACTGCCGCACATATCTCTTTGTATCTTGTCATGTTAATGTTTTTGTTTTTTCAACGTTGTAGTATTAACTCTTTGAGTCCCAGGGGGTTTAGCATCACAGGCCCAAGGGGTAGTCAAGAGAGACATAAAATCAGCGCATCTTGCGTTTATTGGGCTTCTAGGTAGGAACCTATGAACGTATGTCACAGTATTAAGCACTGGACTCCCCGTGTGGGTTTCAAGGCCCAACTGTAGGGAAAACAGGAACAAACCCACTGCCTCCACAAAAAGCATGTCCTAAGAGATGATTGATGGGAGTTTCCTTCAAAGTCAGAGTTCATTTGCCTGTGAGGCAAGGAAAAACAGCCTGCTTACTAATAAATCAGCTCTGTTAAACAGATGCGTACATAACACTCAGGTTCTGGAACAAGACTCAAGTCCAGAGGTGGACAAACAACCAGAGCTTAGTGCTGGGGTTTACAGCCGGTGAATACAAAGAAGAAAAACCACTTGATACAGAAAAATATGAGAGATTGTTAGAGTATCATCACACAGCACTATTACCATGGCGCTTTCCCTTCCGCTAACCAGATATTTGGATATTTTCTCCCGGGTATGCAGGTGTATTAGGAAATGAACAGGCAGATCTACTAGCTGGTTCTGCACAACTTGGTTGTAAACTGATGCAAGGCAAGCTAGATATTGTAAGGGTCCTCTGGGGGCATGTGAACAGTGCAGAGGCACAGATGGATCATTGCAGTCTAAATGCTGCTGCTAGGAGTGACCAGGGGAACTGGCTGATGATCAACACTTAAGGGAACTGTGTGACATATATAAAATCAGACTGTTAGTGGTACAATCTGAATTGAAACTCTGAGCTTGCTGCTGAAGATGTGGACACAGCGCTTATGGGAATATCCAGAGTGTTGTGATATCGATTCTTAATGAAACATTAAACATTATAGTAATAGGGTGGCCAATGACAACTATACGTGTTATTTTCTGCTCTGGGTTAGTCATCATCAAAAGAATAGATAATCAACATTCAGGCACTACATAAGACAACAATACTAACTTACAATCTACAATGTTACCACCATGTTCCTCACTGACTTATACATGATAACAATATAGAATTACAATCTACAATCTTAATAGGACGTTCTTGAATTACTACAACTTTATATGACCTTCATAATTACAATCTACAATCTTGCTGGTGATTCTGAATGGTTTCACCAACACAATGATAACAATACATAATAACAATCCATCTCTGATATGTTTTCGAATAGCTTCAACTATACAAGAAGACAATAATATATAGTTACTGATAACAGTACATAATTACAATCTATGGTTCAGGTTCAGATGATGGATCAACATCATAACAAAAGATTAGTAACCCATAAGTTCCCTGTTCTACTTCTGACTCAAGCTTGAGTCCGAAAAATCTCAGCGCAGTGCATGAACTCTGTAGCACAGGCCAGGGTCCTGAAATACTTTGGGTAGATTTTTAACTCCAAATTTTGCTCGGGCAGTGCCTTTAGGCTACTCTTTTAGATTTTCAACTGCCTAGGGATGTTTTACTCGTGCAACAAAACACAATCTTACTATCCAGAGACCAGAAGTCCACATGAAAAAAAAAAATATCCCAGCCTTCACTGGGGCTTGAACCTGGGACCTCCAGCACTCGGCACCATGCCTTCGAGACCATGCAACCCCCGCTAATTAATTACAACCTATAGTCTTACCAAGAGGCTCCTAAATTACTTCAATTAAAGATTACAATCTACAATCTTCTTAATGGCTCCAACCATGCATAACAGAGATACACTACTACAATTTACAGACTTACTATGATGTTTCTGAATTACAACTGGAATTCATAATTACAATCTAAAATCTTACTATGATGTTTCTGAATTACAACTGGAATTCATAATTGCAATCTAAAATCTTACTATGGTGTTTCTGAATTACAACTGGAATTCATAATTACAATCTAAAATCTTACTATGATGTTTCTGAATTACAACTGGAATTCATAATTACAATCTAAAATCTTACTATGGTGTTTCTGAATTACAACTGGAATTCATAATTACAATTTAAAATCTTACTATGATGTTTCTGAACGACAACTGGAATTCATAATTACAATCTAAAATCTTACTATGATGTTTCTGAACGACAACTGGAATTCATAATTACAATCTAAAATCTTACTATGGTGTTTCTGATTTACAACTGGAATTCATAATTACAATCTAAAATCTTACTATGATGTTTCTGAATTACAACTGAAATTCATAATTACAATCTAAAATCTTACTATGGTGTTTCTGAAATACAACTGGAATTCATAATTACAATTTAAAATCTTACTATGATGTTTCTGAACGACAACTGAAATTCATAATTACAATCTAAAATCTTACTATGGTGTTTCTGAACGACAACTGGAATTCATAATTACAATCTAAAATCTTACTATGGTGTTTCTGAATTACAACTGGAATTCATAATTACAATTTAAAATCTTACTATGATGTTTCTGAATTACAACTGGAATTCATAATTACAATCTAAAATCTTACTATGGTGTTTCTGAATTACAACTGGAATTCATAATTACAATTTAAAATCTTACTATGATGTTTCTGAACGACAACTGGAATTCCTAATTACAATCTAAAATCTTACTATGATGTTTCTGAACGACAACTGGAATTCATAATTACAATCTAAAATCTTACTATGATGTTTCTGAACGACAACTGAAATTCATAATTACAATCTAAAATCTTACTATGGTGTTTCTGAATTACAACTGGAATTCATAATTACAATTTAAAATCTTACTATGATGTTTCTGAACGACAACTGGAATTCATAATTACAATCTAAAATCTTACTGTGATGTTTCTGAACGACAACTGAAATTCATAATTACAATCTAAAATCTTACTTTGGTGTTTCTGATTTACAACTGGAATTCATAATTACAATCTAAAATCTTACTATGATGTTTCTGAATTACAACTGGAATCCATAATTACAATCTAAAATCTTACTATGATGCTCTTGGATGGCCCTAAAGTTCCTGCTCTGATCTTCCACACTGCCATTTGGGAAACGGAAGCCAGTAGGTCGGAATATCTCTAGCCTGGAGTCACTCGGTGAATAAATCAATCTGTGATTCCTTTTCAGCTCGCTGTGCTTGATTTTGGCAACAAAGTGCTTGCTAGTTATTGAAGATGAGTGAGGTCTGTTTTGTCCATACAGTGTTGGCAGAATCCATTCTGGTCGGATGTTGCCTAGACCCAGGTTGGCCCAAAGAACTGTACCAGCTGAAGATGGATGGAGAAACAATATTATTATAAATCTTTTCACTGATTGAATAATGGGTGACTGATTGCATTTAAGGACTACATTCAATTCACTGTGAAACAATTTAGCCTCAACTTCAATTCCTCAGATTACACTAGAAAATTCCTTCTTCTTCGTCTTCTTCGCATTCACCTGCTGTAAACTCCAGCAGAAAGTTCTGGTTGTTCATCCATTTCTGGACTTTGATCTTGTTCCATAACTCGTGAGTCGCTTTCCCATCCATTTTTCAAATCTGGCTAATCTGTATGCAGACTGTTGGTTCCTGACCTCTCAAGCAGATGCAGTCTGAAGAAAAAGTTGATCCTATCTACTGTAAGTTGTCCAGAAACTAGCTGCAACCCATTTCAGACAGGTGGTGAGCAGTATGTGCCTTGGTCCTTGTGCACCACCATGCGTGGGTCAGCACATGTGCATTCCAGGAGGTTCACACCAGCTACACGACTTTGATTTCTCTCAAATATGCTGCTTAGAGAAGTTATATGACTTTTTATGTGGCCAACATTTACTGAAATTCTGTCACTTCAGGGAAGACTGATAAAAACAGAGATTGAGGAAGATAGTAGGAAGATAGTAAGAAATGTTTCTCAAATAGCCTTTTATCATAAAATGGAGAAATACAGGCACAAAAATGGATATATGATAAATATATATGACATATTCTGCAACAGAACAAACATAGAATCTTCTCCTTTTTTCTTATTTACATTCACCAGCTGCAAACTGCGGTGGAAAGTTCTAGTTATTCGTCAACTTTAGGACTCTAATCCTGTTCAAGAACATATTTGACTCATGCGTATGCAGACTGCTGGTTCCTTGCCTCTCAGGCAGATGCACTCCGACTTCGAAGAAAGCTCCCAATTAGTTGACTCTTACGGCATGCTTTTGAGTAGACAGTAGGTTGATTTTCCCAAAATGGAGTCCTGGCAAACACAAGGGAAACATAGGAATCTACACATTGAAAGAATAATTCAAGGAGGAAATAAAAAGAGGGGGGAGGGAGGTTGAGGTTCTGGAAGACATTTAACACTGAGGGGGAAACAAAGGCAGACTTTCATTAGGTTGCAACTGGTACTATCAGCATGTCGACTCTTCATTTGCTATTTAAGAAGGAGACGGAGCATGTGTGGGAATGTCCAGAGTGCAGTGAGGTAACTGCTTGATTCATTCATTCTGAGGACGATCACCAGATGTTTACAAACATACCTGTCCATGTCAGTCACAAGGTATATGATGTGATGATGAAAATATCTTAAACTGAAGAGCGGATGACTGAGTGATTAAAATGCAGACTCTTGAGTAAAAGAGAAGGGTTCAAATCTTCAGTAAGATAAACATCCTAACCTGTACAGTTTGGAACAGAAGTGGCATAACCCTGCAGTCAAAGCTTAAAGTATACAGAGCAGTTGTTTTAACTACACTGCTGTATACGCATGCGAAACATGGGCTGTATACCAGCGCCAGGCTAGAAAGTTAAACTACTTTCACACAGCCTGCCTTAGAAAACTATTGCATATCAGATGGCAAGACAAAGTACCTGATACCGTAGTCCTTAAGAAAGCAGCCATGGCCAGCATCCACACTCTACTGATGCAGTACCAAATTCGTTGGACTGGTCATGTGACACGCATGCCAGATCACAGGCTTCACCCCAAAAAAAAACTCTTCTATAGTGAGCTGTAAAATGGGAAACGTTCCCAAGGTGGGCAAAAGAAACGCTATAAGGACACCTTTAAGTCTTCACTCAAAGCATCTGAGATGAATGACACCAATTGGGAGGCAACCTCTCAAGACTGAAATGCATGGCATGATACTCTACACAAGGGCGAGGCTACATGTGAAGCAAACAGAACAGCAAGACTGATTTAGAAAAGGATGGACAGAAAGGCGACTGCAGGAGATCCCCTCCCTGAGACAACACTCATTCCCTGTACTCACTGTCCAAAAACTATTCGGGCCCGCATCAGCCTTATCAGTCATACTTGATGAAACAGAGTGGTCATCATCATCTTGATGGACAACCCACAGTGAAAGGGTCAGTTGCAAAATCCAATCACTCATCAAAAAGTATACTAATACCTATGGTCCATTCAGCAATAACCGGCTGAATAAGGAAAGAACCTCTATGATAAAGGTGAACAATATATCAATACAGACTAAAAAAATAAAATAATGAGTGTTGTCAAGTTCATAATCTAAGAATTAAATGACAAATAAAGACATAAGCAAAATTGACACACTTTCTTTATCCTGGCCTATGCATGCCAACAACATCCCCGTGATGCTGTGGTAGTTCTCTGCTAGGCTGAGCTTCAATGATGTCAGCACATCTCTGACTCCCTGTGACACAGAGACAAATTTTTGACAAAAATCTTGGAAACTATCAAGACATAATTATGAGATGTCACATGGAAATTATTAGAGCAAAATTAGGAGATGTATCCTAGAAATTATCAAGTCATAATTATGAGATGTAATGTGGAAATTAATAGGGCAAAATTAGGAGATGTATTCTGGAAACTTTCAAGACATAATTATGAGATGTATCTTGGAAATTATTAGGCAAAATTAGGAGTTGTATCCTGGAAACTATCAAGACATAATTATGAGATGTATCTTGAAAATTATTAGGCAAAATTAGGAGATGTATCCTAGAAACTATCAAGACATAATCATCAGATATATCAAGGGCATTATCAAGACAAAACTATGAGATGTATCTTGGAAATGGTCCTGATAAAAATATATGTATCCATGAAATTAGAATCCATCAAAAATAATTAAAGGCTAACCATTATTGGAACTGCTTGAAGTAAAATGTACTGAGGAGCTGACGTGCAAAATAACTCAATCTAAATCAGCACTCTACAAGAAAAGAAATATTTTATTGTAGATTCTTCCTTTACTAAGACATCAAAATGGGGGGTGGGGGGGGGGGGGGGGGGGGGGGGGAGGGTTAACCTTAGAAAGACTATGCTTCTCTTTTTAAGTCAAAATGACTGATTTTACAGCCATTTTAGCTCTGAAAATGGCGTGCATCAATCAGAGTGAGTTTTGTGGAGGTTTGCCTCTCACCTATGTACCAACTTATTACCTCCATAAGGTCTGTGATAGGGACTTTAAAGCAGCTTCCTTAGCTCAGGAATCAGAGGTACTTTTGCTTCATAAATGAACAAACTTATTTTCAAAGGGTTTAAGAAGTGGCCACACAAACCCATCTGACATTCTGCCTTTCTGGCCTCACTCAGGTCAAACGTTACTTCTTTTTTTCTGTTGTCAATATCTGCTCTGTGCCGCTAGGAGTAACGGTTGAATGAATGACAGCAAAGCTATGGTGTTCCAGCTTGCTTGGTATGCTGTGAAGTCTCAGACTCTTTGATTCCATCTTCTTCTTGGTCTCCCTCTGCCTCTTGGTGTACCCATTTTCATGTTACACGCTCTCCCTGCCAAAACTGTTGGATTTATTATCACACAGCTTCACTCATACACATTTTATTAGATAATAATGTATGATGAGAGGCATACAGTATGTAACCAGGTGATGATTCACGGACAGCTGACAAAGGAGGATAAAAGAGAAGAAGAAAAAGATGGAGATGTCATGATTAAACAAATGCTATTCATGTTTCCTTCACAAGTATTTAATTGTCAACAGGCTGCAAACCAACACCCATGATGAATAAAGATAAAAACACTAGAGAAAATCTTGTACTCACATGCTGCAAGAGGAACGCCACCATACTCTCATTGTTGTTACTGACAGCCTGGTACAGCGGGGTCTCCGTCCCTTGACCCATATTCACATCTGCACCAACCTCAATGAGGCACTCTGCACCCTGTAGCGTCATTCAATACATATAAAATTCAATGGGTGGTATGCAGTCATTCTGTCTTTATCAGATGTAGTAGCACAATATTTAATAAGTCACTTTCATTAACAGTTATAAGGCAAAGAAGATGGCAACATTTTGGGCACATCAGGAGAAGAACTGCCAAACAGGCACTGAAATGATAAATAATTGGACTGAGGAAATGAGGACATCCAGGAGAAACTCCAAAACAAAAGTTGCAAAAGGCTAAGGGCTCTCTAGACTGGATTCCATCCAAGATATTGAAAGAACATTTGTTTAGAAACCAACAGAATGGAGGGACCAGACTGCTTGTTCTATGTGATGTATAATGGCATGGTAACATGAGGAAGATGATGATGTCGACCTACCCACAATGTCTGAAAGTGAGTACTGAAATATGTTGAATTTGTGGTGTGTGGTGGGAAATCAGGCAAACAGGTGCACGCGCGCGCGTGCGTGCATGTGTGAGTGAGTGAGTGAGTGTGAGAAAGAGAGAGGGAGAGAAAAAGAGAGAGAGAGAGAGAGAGAGAGAGAGAGAGAGAGAGAGAGAGAGCTTGGAGGCAGTGGTGATATAGTTTCTAAGACATATGTTCAGGATACTTTGGTCTGCCTGAGCAGATAATAATGATTGCCTGGAATAAGCTGCAGAGTAATTAATAACAGCTGCTCGGAAGAAGCAGAAGGAGGAGGAGGAAGAAGGAAGAAGATGAGGAGGAGGAGAAGAGGAAGAAGAAATAATTCTAATATGATAAATAAAATTAAAGTAGACTTATGGTCTAAAGTGGATGAACAGCCAGAACTTTCCGCTACAGTTTACAGCCAGTGAAAATGAAGAAGAAGAAGAAGAAAAATAAGAAGAAATGATTCTACAATTCAAGGAAACCACCATATTTGTAAATAATAAATTAATAATTAAACTAGACTTATAGTGATGTAACATTTTAAAATTAGTTCATATTGGAGTTTGTACTGAACATCCTGACTGGATGCACCACAGCTGTGGGAATTATTATGTATGTATAAACATTGATATCTTACAAGATATTCACCACCATCAATGTGCATGACACTAAATAAAATATACAACAAATCTATTTAACACTGAATTGGACTTAATGAGTGATGTTTACAATTAATAAAACCTGTTCAATTTTAGAGCGGACCAAATGAAAGTTAAGGATTATATTAAAACTGCAAGCAGAAGAAAAGTCTTACAGCAATATATCCCTTAGAGCAGGCGGCACGCAGCATGCGGGACTTCAAGTCTTGCTCTATTCCCAACACATACAAGCATTCACTGGCTAAATCATGCAGCCCTAGGCAAGAGTTTCAACAATAAGTGCAGTCAACTACAGAAATTAAACATCAATAAATAATCTTAACAGACAGGGCAGAAAATGAATCCATTACACAAAACAAGTGTAGCCAATGATTCAACACTAAGAACAAGAGCAGGAGATGAAACAGAAAACAATTTTTTTTTTTAAAGAAAAGAAATAAAGACTCAACAGAAAATAAACAAACAAAAAATACAATTAAACAACAGAAAATATACAAAGGCTACAGAAAAAATTAGAAAACATAGGAAAACAAAACATGAGGCAAAAGGCCCAAAGTATAGTAAAACAAACACAAAAACAGTGTAGTCAATTGACACAATTGGTGTCCTAACAAAACCTATTAACTTGCACTGTTCCATCAGGTCCATGAACCAGCTCATGTGAATGAAACATGTGTGATGAGTGATGAGTCTTCCTCCCTGAGTGCAGCTGTCCCCAGCAAGATAGTCTGTTGGTGTACTCCACCTTTGATTGTTCTCAGTGAAACAGTAAACCTATCTCTCTTAGTCTGCTCCCTACTCACCAAAGTGAACAATAAGGGATACCCAAGTAGTGGTTTTACCACAACCCATTGCAGTCAATGAAACTTACAAGCCCCTCTTCCAATACAAGGTAAAAATGTGGTAGAGACATGAAGATCAGTGAAGAGAAAACTAGCACTGAAAGGAGCTGGACAAAGAAAACATGACATTTACTGATAAGTACAATCAATTCAGAAAGAGAATAGGGGCTTTTGAGCTGAAATGCTATAGAAAGATTCTCAGAATATTTTGGACAAAAAAGATGAGAAATATTGACATCTTAAAAGATCTGAACATCAAGGAAGAATGGCTAATAAACACCATGCTTTCTAGAACGCTGAAATATTTTGGTCATATCAAGCACCACGACGGATTGGAAAAAATTATGGCAGAAGGCATGGTACCAGGAAGGAGGGGCAGAGGCCGACCGACACAAAGGTGGGTATAGGATATAAGTGACTCCTTGAGTGTGAAAGTTCATGAGGCGGGAGAACTGGCAAGAGACCGAGTTTCTTACAGGCAGACTGTGATGAGAGCGACGTTCTGCAAAGGACCTCCTACATAATGATGACAATCAATTCACAAGTTGTAATAACATAAACACTCATGCCAGTAATTTTCTCTGAGATCGTTAGAACACGCTGCTCGCCTGTGGATCCAAAGGTTGTGGGTTCAAATCATGATGGCGCTGGAATTTTTTTTTAATTTCAAAAACTGACTTTGGTTCCCAGGTGGACCCAGCCTTAAATGGGTACCAGGCAAAAGAACTAGGAAGTAAAGGCGGCTAGTGTGATGCTAATCACATCACCCACCATTGGTCTACAAAATATAGGTCTAGCCCTATATGCCCAGTATGGCTAAAGTTGTGAAAAAGGGTACTTTACATCAGAACATATAAGTATCTTTTCCCACTGAAAGACACACACATTGCAGAGATGCAAACAGAGAAGTCAACAAGGACAAATATAATGCAAAAAGCTAGAAAGAGCAAAGAAGAATTGTATTGGTGTGTATACAGAACTCAGAAGCTGCAATAGTATACAGTCTTCTTCTACTGCTATTTACCAGTGGAGCATAGACCTGCAACCAACTTGAGCCAAGTGTTCCCTTCTTTCCTTTGTCATCAAGTGCTGCTTTCTTCATATCCTGCCCAACTTTTTCAGCTCACACTTCACACTATAATTACCTTCTGTCTGTGTGTGTGTGTGTGTGTGTGTGTGTGTGTGTGTGTGTGTGTGGGGGGGGGGGGGTCTGTCTTTATTTATCTCACTGCGTGGATTTCAGTACAGGGACATTCTAATTATATTATTATTATTTTATCCAATTCTAGCTTCTTTTCCTCATATCTTTATTCACTGGCATTTTGTTTGGCTCTCATCCCAAGCTCCACAATAGTAGTTATATCATATCATTTAATTCTCTCTATTCTGTGCAGGCACAATTATTGAACGCTTACAATTTATTAGTAATCATTATCCCTAGCGGCATAAGCAAATATTGACAAAAGAAGAAGTAATCATTTGAGTAATTTTCCATATTTCCGCTCCATACAAGAACATATAGTAAATAACAGGCTCTACTGGCAAATTTGGCCGGTAAGCTGGACTGCTTCGGCCGGCTTAGCGGGGCTTCGTGGGAGTTATGTCCCTTGGCCAAACTCAAAACAACTCAAAACAAGTCGCGGAAAAGTCATGAATCAAACGGCATACTTACCTATCATCATCCGGGTGCGTGTAGGGTTGCGTAGGGTGTCTATCATCGTCCTACGGTTGCGTGTAGGGCTGCTTATTGCGTGTAGGGTTGGTTGTTTGCGTAAGATAGATGAGGGGTAGGGTTAGGGGTTAGGGTTAGCGTTTAGGGGTTAGGGTTAGGGTTTAGGGTTAGGGTTTAGGGTTAGGGTTTAGGGTTAGGGTTTAGGGTTAGGGTTTAGAGTTAGGGTGTAGGGTTAGGGGTTAGGGTTAGGGTTTAGGGTTAGGTGTAGCGTTACATGTGACAATTGTGACGCCGTAGTTCCCTACAATCGCGCACAGTCGCATGCACGCGCACACAGTCGACGGACGGTTGATGCTACTGACACGGACAATTCGCCGCCACCGATTGGGGCACCAGCCGCCGCGCACTATTGTCGTCATATTTGTCACACTTCCAGTGGCGCCACTCCCACAAGCATCAGATTGTCGGCCAGTATTTCCACCTCCTACGTGAATATTTTCACATCATCTAACCCTAACCCTAGCCCTACCCCTAACCCTACCCCCTAACCCTCCCCCTAACCCTACCCCTAACCCTAACCCTACCCCTAACCCACACCCCTAACACTACCGCTAACCCAAACCCTACGCAACCCTACACGCAACCGTATGATGATGATGATAGACACCCTACGCATCCCTACACGCAACCGTATGATGATGATAGACACCCTACGCAGCCCTACGCGCAACCGTATGATGATAGGTAAGTATGTCATTTGATTCGTGACTTTGATTCCGCGACTTGTTTTGAGTTTGGCGAAGGGACGCGAAGGGACATAACTCCCACGAAGCCCCTTTAAGCCGGCCGAAGCAGTCCAGCTTACCGGCCAAATTTGCCAGTAGAGCCAAATAACATATAGTTGATGATTAAATCAATGCCAGACAGCATGCATGTTATCAGTCCCTGACATTTACAGCAATCACAAGCAACAGACAATAATCAGTAAAAACAACAAAAAGAAAACAGAAATGTTAAAAAACTGGGTTACACACTGCATGCTCATGCTATGTAGGGCCACAATTAATGGATCAATGATTCAATCCAGCACAAGAACATAAAGGTTAGATTTGAAAACATGCGTGTCTCAACAAAGAAACAAGAACATGTCAGTATTGACAAGGAATCAAATAAAAACTGCTAGCTGATGAATTTAAGTAAGAGACCCTTCTTATGCCCAACAGTGCACTGAGCATATAATGCTTGTCATTTTTATATAGCCATCGAACGGCACTAGGTCAGTGTTGTGCTCAATATCATGTTGGAAGATGGAAGTTCCAAATGTAAGATAGGCCTGCGTGCCTAATTTGTAATCCTTTGAAAAAAAAGTTCCTTCGTTCGTTCGTTCGTCGTTGGCTGCTTTTACTTCCTAGGACACTAAATGGTTTCCATTTTAGACTGGATCATCCTGAATGCTAAGGCCAATTTTGTAAAGAAACAAAATCTGCCACAATGTAGATTCAAACCCAAGACCTGTGGACCTGTGTGCCTGCAGGCAAGCATCTAGCCACAAGACTACTGGGTCTCTGACTGAACATGGTCAAAGACCACATGTTTACATGCTCACATTTGAGAATAAATTCTAAGTCAAGACCAGCAGAACTAATATGTCATCATCATCATCAGGTGTCTTGTTAACTGGTGTGGGTGATTATGCCTCTCTATAATCTGGGATCTTCAACAGTCTGTGTCAGTTCGTATGTTGACACCATTAACATACTATGTCATGACAAAAAGCTGTCAAGAGTCTTCTCACGTTATCTCCCTCTATCTCTCCTTTCTCAAATCTTTCCAGTAATCACAACATATTCTGTTTCCTTCTTCTTATTACATGACCACACACAATTATGACCGTCTCTTTCTGATTTCTGTGATGTTATCTACAAGCCCTTGCTTCATTCAAAACATCTAGGCTGATCTTTTCAGATGTGCCAGGAATTTTAAGGATTCTTCTGTAAAACCACAATATGTTATATGAAGCTCTTTGCATCAGATCATCACAGATGACCTCAAGTGGTCTGCAGAAATACTCTTGTGAAATACAAATCAAGTGCTTTACTTAATTCTCTAAGCCCTTCTAGGAAATTATTTACTGTCATTGTGTTTAAAACATTTGGTGCTTTCCCAATTTCAACCCCCATGATGATGTCACAGGACAGTCCAATATTTTCGAGGGTGGTAAGAGCGGGATCCCCGGCTTTCTGATGCTTTTTACTACTTCAAAACATCTAAAACTGGGCCTAACCCAAACCCACCTAAGTCCCATGCCTGCCTGCATCTACCACTCCCTAAATATTCGACTGTTTGTTTGAGAAAGGATATTGGGATAGAACCAAACATTTCACACCACTGCCTTATTTTATGTTTGGTCTAAGCATTTAAGAGAAATGTGGCCATTATTTGAACATACAGCACAGGATATGACCCTTTGAAAACAATAAACTCATGCTTTTTTCTGCTCTATTTTTATGTATCTCTTGTATATCTTCCTATGGAAGAACCATTCAAATAAAACATTCCATGGAGGAACCATAAAAATATAATATCTCACGAAAATAAGAATAGAATATGGAAGACACCATGAAAATAAGAATATAATATGGAAGACACCATGAAAATAAGAAAAGAATATGGAAGACACCATGAAAATAAGAATAGAATATGAAAGACACCATGAGAATAAGAATAGAATATGGAAGACATCATGAAAATAAGATTAGAATATGGAAGACACCATGAAAAATAAGAATAGAATATGTAAGACACCATGAAAATAAGAATAGAATATGTAAGACACCATGAAAATAAGAATAGAATATGGAAGACACCATGAAAAAAAGAATACAATATGTAAGACACCATGAAAAAATAATACAATATGGAAGACACCAAGAAAATAAGAATGCAATATGGAAGACACCATGAAAAAAGAATACAATATGGAAGACACCAAGAAAATAAGAATACAATATGGAAGACACCATGAAAATAAGAATACAATATGGAAGACACCAAGAAAATAAGAATACAATCTGGAAGACACCATGAAAATAAGAATAGAATATGTAAGACACCATGAAAATAAGAATACAATATGGAAGACACCATGAAAAAAGAATACAATATGGGAGGCACCATAAAAATAAGAATACCTCATGCATAAACCATTCAAAACAAATGATTTTAAAAACAAAACAAAAAAGTCCCACGGAAGAATAATGAAAAAAAGAATACATAAAAGAACCATAATAAAAAGAATATCACATGGAAGAACTTAAAAATAATATTCCAAGGGGAAATCATAAAAACAGGAATATCCCATGGAAGAACTATTAAAATAAGAATATCCCATGGAAGAATCATGAAAATATAAAAATATTCCATGAAAGAACTATGAAAATAAGAATGCCTAATGGAACAACTGTGAAAGAAGACAAAAAATATTCCACCCCAAGGAAGAACTAAGAAAACAAGAATATCGCTTAAAAAATACAAAGAAAATGCTTTTCTTGGCTAAAATATGAAAATATTCTATAAATTTCACATCTGTTATCTATCTGTTTAATCCATAAAGTTTTTAATTTAATTAGTTTCTGCAGAGCAATGATTGTTTGTTCTCCTCCTAATTCGAGTCATCATATTTCCCCAACACATCATCAGTAAAAATGTATATTCAAATGGCACTAATTTTCTGCAATTTCTCTCTACTGCTAAATATCTTTTGATATTTTTTCAGTTGTCATTAATTAATTTGTTTTGCTGAGATATAATGTACTTTTTTCTTCTTTTTTAACTTTGTTCCTGTGCTGACTTTTTTTTTAAACATTATTTTAAAAAAAAGCTTTTAAAACCAACATAATCCTGATTACTGAAACAAAAGATGAATCATTTGTCAATGTTTAATGCAAGCAGTAAATATTAAACAAACATGCTATTGATGAAACCAATTAACTTGTAAATCTTGTTAATACTGTAAGTAAAACAGCACTGAGATGTTTTCATAAACTGAACGGGTTGGTAGAAAAGATACTTACAGTAACACAAGTATACAAAGTGATGCTGATAAGAATAAATATACATATATGCGTTTTTCAGAAAACAAAGAAGATAATTTTGTAAAATAATGTACTCGGCACCTTTCTATATTTCCAGATGATGATGTTATGTTGTGCTACAGGGATGCATGGAAATCACAACCCAAGGCGAGGGCGAGTCCGACTAGCAAGACCCACTTGCTTTAAGACTAGTCTTCTATTTTTAGAGCATGGCATTTCGGATGCTTTGTTGCCACTGTAAATATTTCATGTGCTTCATCTCAGCCGGTCAGCTCTTACTATTATCTACTAACATTCAAATATAACATGTTTTAACACAGGATGGTTCCATGGCTGCCAGATTTGGGGCACAACAAAAAAGACTGAGATCTGTGAAGAGATATGATCAGCTATGCTGGCTTGTGGGGTCCATGAGAATGCATATGGCGTGAAGTGTTATGCCTTCATATATTCTCATCATCATCATCATCTCAATGAGCAGGCTCTTGTTGGATGTTACTCTTGTCAGGTCATCCCTGAAAGTCTTTCTTTGTAGGCTATGAAATATGTGCTACTGGAAACTGAACTCTGCACTTGCTAGTGAAGATGGAGACAAAGTGCTTGTGGGTATGTCTCAACTCCTGTGATTTTGTTTTTTTAATTCACCGCAGCTCAACTCAGGCTACGGAATAATCCAATGAGGTGGCCAGTGTATCAACAGATCTCGTTCCATGCCTATGAAATGATCTAATTTGTATTTACACAGATATCTTTAGTCTCTTCTCTCAATAACACTAAGCCACTGAGCTGTTCTGAATATCACTAGGGCAGCAGTAAGCTATTATATATTGACACAGCAAAACACAGTTATAAACTGTCAACAGATCAAGTCCCTGCAGGCAGTCACCACTGCACATGATCATCGCCCTTGGATCTAGACTGTGTTCTCCTGATTATGCAAAAGCCTCAAAGCAGCAAATAACATCAATGAACACAGCATGGGTGCATGCCTATCACAGATGCAGCAAATATACATCTAGTATAAAATATACAGTGTGCTGTATGCTGCAGGTCTGATTTCTATAGTATGTGTCAGATCATGTTGTGCACTGAATGGCAGATAAGGACAATAACTGATAATAAATTGTAAGAGGTAAACATAACAACATCATTTTATCTAAAAACATCAAACCTCTTTAACACAAACTCACTTAAGAATACTTGGTCAGCATAAGCACAATTTTGGTCCAAGCAGAGATGTATTTTTACTATTAGTCCCTTGTTAAGCCAAACTATTTTTAAGGTAAACTCAATTTTCAGTCCCTTGGAATTCATGTTAATAGGGTTTTTATCTGCTTTTCATGCGGTTGTTGACACATAAGGCATTCACAAGTGATCTCTGCTGCTGCTAGTCTGTTGCTGTCCTGCCTATGGTATTCCATGTCAGTTTACATTCCCTCATTTACCTGCTACTGTCCTTCTCCAGGTTTCCTTAAGTCATCCATGCCTACTTTTGTTTTCTATCTGCTGTCCACCAGAGAACTGTTCTGACCAAAGTGTTATCAGACATTCTGCAAACATGTCCAAGCCATCTCCATCTCCTTCCTTTGACCATGCTTGCCAGTGATGAACATTTTGTTTTTGTCTTCATTTGCGATCTTATTTTGGCCAAAATGTTCACAGTGTTCTCCTCACAGACATTTGAACATCATAGAATAGAAGGAAATGAGCTATAAATTCCCACAATATAAGTTAATGCTGCAAGGGTCTGTGACAGAAGAACCTGAAAGGCTCTCTGAACTAAACAATGAATGTAAAGCAAGTCTGTTGGTACATAAACAGTATATACAAACACATAAGCTGACAGCTTCATGTAAAAAAAAATGTTAAAAACGCATGCACGCGCACAGACACACAAAGACAAACAGGGAAGAGCAACATACCCTGGTCCTCATCATGCTTCTCTAGTATCTGAAACAAGAGCTCATGGCAATCTTCATCAACCAGCACTTCTGCCATGTTGCTGTACTGGTCCCTCTTGTCACCATCCACCCCCTTCTCTGCCAGGATCTGTATGGCTACAATGGCCTAATCAGAGAAGCACATTTTTGAGTATCAGCTGTGACTCAGAGAATGGCAGAGAAGATGTAGGGAAATGGTCTGGGTCAGAGAATGGGAGAGAAGATGTACAGAAATGGTCTGGGTCAGAGAATGGCAGAGAAGATGTAGGGAAATGAGAGATATAGTAGAAGATGTAGGGACTGGGTCAGTTACTTGTTGTCCGAATGGTCTTCTTCTTCTTCTTGGCATTCACCAAGATGTAGGGAAATGGTCTGGGTCAGAGAATTGGAGAGAAGATGTAGGGAAATGGTCTGTTCGTCCATTTTTACTAGACTTACTTTTTCTTCTTCTTCGCGTTCACTAGCCAGAACCGGTTGTTCGAGTGTTGCATCCTGTTCCAGAACCTGTGTGTTGTGTGTGACAGATCTGACTCATTTTTATGCAGACTGCTGGTTCCTTGACTCTCAGGCAGATGCACTCCGACTTCAAAGGAAGCTCCTAATTGACTCTTACGACTTGCTTTTGGGTAGGCAGTGGATCTATTCTTGTTTTCCCACAATAGGGCCCCTGAACCCACATGGGTGTTGTACGTATTGACATCCTAGAACATTTGTCTGACATATTTACGCTCCGTCCTCCGATGCAGCAGCCATCTCAGTGTCTCCATGCTCACTGAACCCTGTAGGAGTTAACTAGCACATCTTCTTTCTTTTCCCCACAACTGGTTTCTGTAGGCTTTTCCTTGTTTAACACCCATTTCAAACAGGCAGTTCACTGTCTCTGACTCTTTTGTCTCAAAGTCTCCAGAATGCAGCAGGTTCAGTATGTCTGTAACCTCCACACTTCTTCCTTCACTAACCTCTGCAGACACAGCCAATAAGTCAGCTCTTTCATTTCCTGTTACCCTGTTCACAGCAGACAACAAGAACACTGAAAGTTAAGTCTTACCAGTTTCTAACTAATCACCTTAAAACTGCAATGATACAACTGTCTCCAGAAGACAAGTCTACTGCAATGATTTATCATCATTTGCCATGCTGATTATTAGAATGATCACTATATAGGCTCCTAGGCCCTACTGTAGGGAATGGGGGATGGGGGGGCCTGCTAGAACAGACCTACTGCTCCCCTAACAAGAAAGCTGTAGTACAAAATGACTTATTAGTGGTGTTTCCTTTAAAGTCGGGTGGCATCTGCCTGAGAGGAGAGGAACTAACAGTCTGCATACAAATAAGCCAGATCTGTAAAACGAAAGTGCATGTAGAATTCAAGTTTTGAAACAAGACTAAAATCTAGTCATGGAAAAACAGCCAGGACTTTCCGCTGGAGTTCACAGCCACCTAAAGCAGCAGAATATAACACTGTCCCAAATAATGCACTATATGTGATCATTTATTGTCAGCCCGTATCCAAGAACCTAGAGGTGTAATTCTTTCTTTTACATCTGCTCTTGGCATTAAAAAAAAAAAAAAAATAAAATAAACAACATGCCCATCTACAACTACAACATACAGGACAGTAAATGTGACTTCTCTGAAAGTAATCATTGATCAAATAATCAATTCAATTAGGGAGCCGGTTTTCTTTCACCAAACCTTCTTAGTTACATTCTGTGTTTTCTAATCTATTCATTGTATCAGTTTGGCAGCAATCACTTCCCTCCCTCCGCATATTTTTTTAATACTTAACAAAAAATAAAACACTTATTTTTTTTTTACTACTACTCCTTGTCTCTAAATTTGTCTTTTATGGAGGGCTGATGAGAACATTATGGATAGATAAAAAACACAAAAGACATGTCTTAAAAGAAAATGACATACAATAAGAACTGCTTGTATGAATCAGAAGACTACTCTGTGTGTGGGTTCTGAAGGACCCACTTGGAGCAGGGGTCAAGGGGGAGATGGACCCAATGCCCCTGAACTCTTCTAATACCAAGGGGTGTACCACACACTGATTTTCCTGTCCACTGACACTGGAAGAGTGAACAAGTATGTCATAAAAGACAATCAATTCAGGTTTTGCTACGATCACAGCTGTTAGGCAAAAAGGCGTGGATATTGCAGCCTAGCTGAAATCTCAGTACAACATGCCAACCACACTTTTAATAAGAAGATAAGAAGACAATCTACATTCTTGAAGTTCCTCATCAGAAGAAGGCTGCAGTACACTGTAACAACCGGAAAGCTGCAGAGGCATCAAGACACAGATATGTACCTCTCGCTGAATGATGAGCGACTTAGGGTAATTCTTCATGGTTGACTTGATGATGGAAACCAACTCATGGCACATGACTGTTGACTGCACCAGCTGCCATTCAGCCAGGATCTGGATGGCACACAACCCTTTCTTCTGAAGATCTGCAAGTATATACACTTTATTTATGTATACAGTCGAAAAAACAAAAATACTCCCAAAGCAAGTTAACACATCTTCCTCCTTCCTCCACCCAAACCCACCCTTTTAAAATAAAAAATATTTTATAGAGATGCTGGAGTGAAGAAATGCAGAAAGACAAGTTTCTCAAGAATATCAAAATAAATTAGCAAAGAGAAAAATTTCTTTAAAAACACTGACATAAATGATAACAAAAAAAAAAACACCATAAATAAATTTTCAAAAACATTCTGAAGAAAAACTGTATGCATAACTTACTGCCATTGCTGAGGAATCTCTTCATACATTTAATGATTTTGTCGATGGTGCCACTGGAGTTCAGAATGTCAGAACCACTGGCTGTGAATTAGAACAACAAGAACCATGTAATCCTCAAAGTCATAATTAAATACAGGTCAGTAGAGCTCAAGGCAAGTCAGCAAGAGGTAGACAACAATATAAATGGTAAGATAACATCAGCAGATGGAGGAACAGTTAACGTCAGAGAGTGAACAACCAGGACAAGATACAGAGACTACTGCAGCCAACCTTCTTGTTAAGGCAGCATCAGATTAGCTGAACTCTCTTCAGGCCATTTATGATCAGAAATATGTTCACAGGAACTGACTGGCTTTCATAATAAGGAACATAAAAATACAGGACATCAGAATACACCAGCTAGATTATAATGGAAGATGAGAAAAGATAAGCAAGAAATACCAAACCACAGAGCTGACATATGTGGTTCCTTCTTCATGATACTGTGCCATCTTGGTACACTACAATCTTTACAGAAATGCCTTGTAGACTGGAACATTGCTGTTCTCTGTCACCCACCTTACTTGCCAGGTCTTGTACATGCACCCACCTTACTTGCCAGGTCTTGTACATGCAAACTACTTTCTATTTCTCAAGTCAATAAATATTTCCCTTAAATGGGAGGCATGTTTACAGAGTGGAAGACATTCAAAATGGAGTGACAAAGGTGTTTACGAACACTTCCAAATCTGCTTTCCCGGAGGGTGTGTAGAAGTTGAAACAACCTACAGAGAAGGAATTTCTTTTTTTTTTTTTTTTTTTAAATAAAAAAATATCTTCTCGTAAGAAACCGTCCATTTTAAAAAAGTCATCTCAAAATGTGTGGGTCACAGCTTGAATATATACAGTGAATATATACATAGCAGCAGGTCCTTTGCAGACTGTTGCTTGCATCATGACATTGTGGATAGCCCACCCAACCCCCTTGCCAACTTTCTCGCTTTGTGAACTTTCAGCACCAGAGTATCCTAGACAACCTGCTGGTCGACCCCTGCTTCCTCTTCAAAGAACCATACTCTTCACTACTGTTCTCTGGAAACTATTATGGCATTTAGCATGGCAGGAAATGTTAAGTTTAAGAGACAAAAAAAGACAAACAATTCTGTATATGAACCAATTCCCCTCTATTTATAATATAAATACACTAGGAATAAGTTTATTTACATTTTAGGTAACATAGACCTCACCTGCACCACCCAACACAGCAAGAGCTTCGACAGCCACCTCTTGCAAAAACTCATCCCCAGGAAAGCATTCCATGGCCTCCAGGATACGCAGGTGCATATTAACCACAAAACACTGATGCCTGAACAGATCTGCGGAAATCACAAACATATCAATTAACCAGACCTAAGCCCGACAGAAACTAAATTAAAAAAAAAAGACTGGTCAAATAATGAAATATGCCAACCAAACGTCAATGGTAACATTAAAAGACTCAGCAGAAACAGAAAGTGTTTTCATTTGCCTACTTCTGAACAACAATACTACACAGCTAGATAGAGAGCAAGAAGAGAAGAGGCGACTCAGAAAGACCTGTATATAGAATTTGGTTGAACAGACGTGCTTCAAGAGTGCAAAAATCGAATCCACTGCATCTGACCGACAGGTGGAGAGAACTGATCAATCAGTCAACAGCAGCTAGTGACCCAACAACACATGGTGTTATGGAGCTAAGCACTGAGTTTTGAACAAGGGACATGAGTCTAGTCATGGGTTTCAAACATCGCATTTAACCTCCCTCACCTGGATCTACACACCTGGTCAAGCAGGCGTAGGGAGAAATGAGCTAGCGGACCAACTAGTAAACACTGCACTAAGGATTGCAGGAAAAAAGCATGGACAGAGCAGATATCGTCAACGCTATACAGACTGGGCTAGTGGATGATAAGGAATCCTTGACACTAACATGATTGCGTGACATGGGAGTAAAGCATGGTAAAGCAGGTCTATGCCGTCTTCGAGGCCGAATTAGGAGACAGTATAACCAGCTTCTCATGGGAACAATTAGTAGACGTACTTTGGAGTGGCTGCTGCATCAGAGGACTGAACACACATGGGAATGCCTAATGTGGAGTGACATCAAGTGTGATAAAATTACAGAACATAACATAGCCAGGGTGAATGCCAACTTACCAATATCTGCCAGACAGGCAACGGTGCTGATGATCTCACTCTGAACCTCTGGATCATTGGGAAAGTTCCTGATGATGTCCAACAACAAAGAAAGCAGGTCCTCATCATAGTGAGCTATCTGGTTTTTGTGGTCATACCTACAAGTGTTCAGTGAATAGGACAGAGAACACATTTCATATTCTTTGCAGAGCATTACAAATGTTTATACATTTTTTTATTTTGGTTAAACCAGTGAACTATACAGTCCTATGTTAGCTCAAAAGTTGATTTCCAACACAAGTTGATTTCTTAGAAATCAATCGTAAATCTTTTCCATCAAGTGATAAAATGAGCCCGTCTGAATAATGAAAAGACAGATGTAATGGTGATTTCCAAAACAAAGAATAGTGCCTACATGTATAATAAAAGTCAAAGGAGTTATTTTAAGTACAGAAATGTAAGTATCTAGGCACATGGATAACATCCGATGGAAGATGTATCACAGAGATAAAGAATAGAATAGGACAGGCCAAAACTGCATTTTACAAAATAAAAAACATTTTATGCAATAAATCCATGTCATTGTAGGTTAGGAAAAGAATTCTCGCATGCTATATAGAGCCAGTTTTAACATACTGCTGTGAAGCCTGGACAATTAATAAACAAGCCAAACAATATCTTGAGGAATCGGAGATGTGGTTTTACCGAAGAATCCTTAGAATTCCTTTGTTAGCTAAGAAGAGCAACCCACATTTTTGAGGTGAGTGCTGGAAGACAACTAATCACAGACATCAGAAAGAGAGAGTCATCATTTGTTGGTCATGTTATGAGAAGAGGGAAAATGGAACATGTGGTGACCACCGGAAAGATCTGTGGAAAAAGAGACAGAGGAAGAAAGTGTGAAAAGATTCTTGATAGTCTTTTGTCATGGCATGGAGGGCAGTCAAGACTCAAACTGATATACACAGTTGCAGATTGTGGAGAGACATGATCGCCGACGCCAGTAAGCAAAACACTTGATGATGATGTTAGCTGACTTAAATTTATAAAATGCACTGCAAATTTTGAGTCCCCTGATGGCTCATAAATATGGAAAATAATCAGTTCTCCACAGGATCATAAACATTTTTATAAAACTTACTGTATGATACAATCGCTCTCTGGCTCAATAATATTTATAAAACTGACTGTATGATACATTCCCTCTCTGGCTCAATAATATTTTTAAAACTGACTATGATACATTCCCTCTCTGGCTCAATAATATTTATAAAACTGACTGTATGTTACATTCCCTCTCTGGCTCAATAATATTTATAAAACTGACTGTATGTTACATTCCCTCTCTGGCTCAATAATATTTATAAAACTGACTGTATGTTACATTCCCTCTCTGGCTCAATAATATTTATAAAACTGACTGTATGATACATTCCCTCTCTGGCTCAATAATATTTATAAAACTGACTGTATGTTACATTCCCTCTCTGGCTCAATAATATTTATAAAACTGACTGTATGTTACATTCCCTCTCTGGCTCAATAATATTTATAAAACTGACTGTATGATACATTCCCTCTCTGGCTCAATAATATTTATAAAACTGACTGTATGATACATTCCCTCTCTGGCTCAATAATATTTATAAAACTGACTGTATGATACTTTCCCTCTCTGGCTCAATAATATTTATAAAACTTACTGTATGATACTTTCCCTCTCTGGCTCAATAATATTTATAAAACTGACTGTATGATATATTCCCACTCTGGTTCAATAATATTTATAAAACTGACTGTATGATATATTCCCACTCTGGTTCAATAATATTTATAAAACTGACTGTATGATACATTCCCACTCTGGTTCAATAATATTTATAAAACTGACTGTATGATACATTCCCCCTCTGGCTCAATAATATTTATAAAACTGACTGTATGATACATTCCCTCTCTGGTTCAATAATATTTATAAAACTGACTGTATGATACATTCCCTCTCTGGCTCAATAATATTTATAAAACTTACTGTATGATATATTCCCTCTCTGGCTCAATAATATTTATAAAACTGACTGTATGATACATTCCCTCTCTGGCTCAATAATATTTATAAAACTGACTGTATGATACATTCCCCCTCTGGCTCAATAATATTTATAAAACTTACTGTATGATATATTTCCTCTCTGGCTCAATAATATTTATAAAGTTCACTGAAAAATAAGAGTTTTTTGATTGCTCATTTATGTTTTTTTTTAAAAAACCCCCAATGATACAAAGTCCTCTCATGGATCATTAATATTTATAAAACTTGCTGAATGATATACAATCCTCTGTAAGCTCATTAATGCTTTCAAAACCCACTAAATGTGAACCCCTCGAGTTGCAGAGAGAAAAAGCCACTTTAGAAATTTATGAAAGGTGCGGTAGAATGAATCGTAACCATCCTAATAGACACCTTGTAGAAAACTGGGAATACAAACAAAGAATAAAGCACGAATTGGTTTTACACTGTGTCCATAAAATACAAGACAGATACCACCTCCCAGAAAGACGCCAGGGCACTTAGAATGTTGCAAGAAACCTACCACCACACGCTGGCTTTAAAGCTCCAGAAGTCCGAATGAAATTGGTAGATGAAGAAGCTAAACAGTCTGATCCAATCGCCCTTGTGAACTCATCGCTAAAGACCACTGATTCTTACCCCCAAGAATGGATACATGTCTATACTGATGGATCAGCATTTAAAGCTACCATTAAAGCAGGTTACAGAATCTACATAGGTTATCTCGATGGATCTGTTGAAGAGATTTTTTATGCATGCTGGGAATTCTGCTCAAATTATGGTCGAAATAATGTTTACCCTTCAAAGGCCTAAAATATTGTCATTTTCACAGATTCAATGTCTGCCCTTCAAGCTCTGGAGGGCAGTGAATGATGCATAACTGACACAGCCAAGATAATTCTGGATGCTGATCAGCTCATTGCCTCATATAACATCAGAAAAGTGATGCAGTGGATTCAAGGCCACTCTAGCACATCAGGTAATGACAGAGATAACAGGCTGGCAAAGAAAGAACAACCACCTACAGCAACAACCCTACAGAGCTATAAACAAAGAGACGGTTGAACAAATGGGCCATGGGAGACACTAGAAGAGAGGTTTATAGACATATGGCTAGCCCTGATCCTAATGACAGCATTAACCATTTAACAAGAAGGGACCAGGCCACCATCTTCAGACTCAGAACGCAACATACTCCACTCAATGGACACCTAAACAGAATACAGCCACAACACTCCCCAGAGTGCCAGCTATGTAACTACCCCTAAGAGACTGTTGAACACCATCTTTTTGAGTGTCCAAAACTCAGAGAGACTAGAAGAATGCTACTCCTTCTGAGACCTGACAAGTGAAACACCTTGTAAGTAGCAAAAGAACAGCTTGTGAAACATGCAAATTCCACTACATGGCATTGGGCCAGAGGGCGGACCTCATATGCCGCTTGATCGATAACAACAAAACCCACTAAAAGATACAGTTCTCATACATCATTACATATTATAAAAACTCTCCAAGTGTCTATACAAACAAAATAACTTTTTCCTGGTCAAAGGGAAGGAAAGCATTTAATTCTTTGTGCTGTTTGTATTTGATGATTACTTCCCTTAGAGTAAAAAAATACAGGCCAAAAAGGTAATCTGGTAATCTGGTAATCCTAGTTTCAGCATCATAGCAAACGGGTAACCCCATTGTTGCTCCGCTCCTGTGCCAACGAAAAACACTCGTAGCTCACAGTGTCACACCATGCACTCAACTCAGAAGCTGGGTGACGAAACTATATCCTTCCAGTCTACAAATGGAGCAAAAATGCAACGGCCACCGCCTGGCAGAACTGCCACGGCTTTAAAAAAAAAAAAAAAAAAAAGTGGTCGTGCCTAGTGTCCACTGTGACTTGAAGCATTATGTGAGGGGTTAACAAATGGTCACCCCAGCAGTACCCTCACTATTAGCTGGAAAAGGGACTTAGGACATTACATCCACCAAAAAGGTGTGTGCATGTGCGCACGCCTGTGTGTGTGTATGTGTTTAGCTGCGATAAAGTAGTGGTCTTCACACCTGCCTGTCTGGTCACAGGTTTTGATACCTCCCCCGCCCCCCTCTTCTTTCCAGGCTGTTTTATAAAACACCAACCAAAACTTAAAATTGTGTGTGGTTCTTTTCTTTCTCTAACTTCTTAGGCAGAGAATTACAAGGGTGCATTAATTTTTTTTAATATAAAATCTTGAGGAAAGGCCATTTTTGTTAAATTCTTATGGGGCAGAATTGTTAACTGCAGTAAAACTCACTGAAAGATACATAGTCCTCTGATGGCCCTGCAGGCCGCACTGATTGCCTTGGGTCTGCTGGAGTGGTAACGTAAGCCTTGGATGATTGCAATGTGTGGATTCTTGAACATGAGAGTCTTACACAGACCTTCTGCAATAGACACAGTAAAGTGTGGCCATGATCATGTGCCACTGATGTTACACAAGTTCAACAAGTCAAGTAGAATGAGACTGCACAGACAAAAGAACATTGATGACATGGTACATACAACATACTAGACAAAGTAGTTCCCCCCCCCCCCCCCCCCCCCCCCCCCCACTTAGATTTCTGATCTCATTCAGTGCAAAGACTTATCAAGTTTGTGAACATGCAACTCCTGTATTCTATGTTTGTGACCCCAAAACAAATATTTCTGAAAATATATGATGTTTTCCCCATGTTTTCTGTATTCTTACAATTAACCTAAGGGTCACTGTGGTGAAGTGGACAAGCCATTTACTCTGGCTCTGAAGGTAATGGGTACGGTTCACTGCTGTTCCATTCAGTTCACAGGTGAAATTTTTATGCAGACTCCTCGGGATTGTAGCAGGAGCTCGTGTTCTTGCTTTTTTTTTGCGGCACTCTTGAAAGGCGGTAGCCATTTTGCACAAAGAGATGAGTCATATGGGATAACACAAGGTGCAATGAAATCGATCCTCTTGATTCTTACCTTTTTAACCTTCACCATTACCCCTTCCACATCAGACATCTATTTACTTTAACAACTGGGTGCCTCAATATGACTATGCGACTGAATAGGGCTTTTATGATATGAATAGCTGGACTTGGAGCAACTGGGTGTCAGTATGTATGTGTGCACACTTATGTGTGTAAGAGAGTGAGAGAGAAAAAGGGACAGACGGACGGAGGGACACAGACACACGGACAGACACAGGGACACAGACACACGCACGCACCCAGGCATGCACGCACACACACACACATATACACACACACACACAGAGAGCAGAGAGAGAGAGAGAGAGAATTACCATTGTCAGCAGTCAGGTAGTATATGGCCTTGCATGCTGATGTAAACACCTCCTCATCTTTCTCATGCATCAAAATGGCACCAAGACATAGTGTGTGAATGGGGTCCCTGGAGAGAATCACAAGACTCTGGTAATGTGTGAATGTCAACATACAGATAAGGCAACCAAACAGATTAATACAAAAATAACATGAATACAGTCAGCTATCAAATCCAAAGTAGACAGTATGGCCCTTCTGACTGTCCTGCTTAATAACGCTAATGCCATATAAACACACAAAAACACACACATATATACACCCACAATCACACTGAGAGTGAGGAGGGAGGGGGGGGGGGGGGGGTGAGAGAAATGTACA